TGAAATATGGCTCAAGCTCATCGAGAAGGATTTTCCCATGGAGTACAAGACCAAGGCGTACAAGCCGCAGAGCCCTGATAAATGGCATCGAGTATGGGAAAAGTACAAGAAGGACCACGACACGGCTCTCCAGGAGAGTGAGTCCAAGCTTAAGAATGCACTGGCGGGCCTCAAACAGGACAAGGAGAAGAACACGAGTCGAATCATAGAGCGGAAACTTCTGCCCAAGTCCATCAGGCTCGGGGGCGGCAAAAGGCTATACAGCGGACATCGAGATGCGCACTCCAACGCCTTGACCTTTAATGCCGGAAGCCGAACCAAGACTTTCAATGGGGCAAGTGTTATGCGCAAAGTCCGTCGTGAGGTCAAGGAGATTGCGACGATTCACGGTGCCTTGTCCAGACCTATTCGTGGTCCGACAAAGCAGTCTCAACTTCACAAAGCACCTGAAGCCATGGTCGATGAATACCGACGCGCTACTCAGCCTCGGTACCGGTCCACTCTCTTGTCTCCAGAACCATCATCTGCCGTAGCAGAGCACGAGGCGCGCGCCACCTTTATATCTGATTCAGATGAGGAAGATGAGGACGACATTTTTGATGACGAGACGCCTAAAGTGCCACCTAGACCCATTCGAAAACCCGTCATGCAAGCGCCCTCCAGTTCTCTCATGACAAAGAAGCCGAGTACATCTCAGCCATCGCCCTCAACGGCACGAGCTTTGAGACCATCGACTGGATCCAGCCCGGCGAAACGAGGCTCCGGACTTCTTTCAAACAAGTTCAGAGGCTCGGGTGTGAAAGTGACAGCAAAACCGTCGCCATCTAGCAGTCCTTCGCCGCTAAATACAGTAGCATCCAAACCGACACCGACACGAGAGTCTGAACCTACCAAAACAGCACAGTATCTCCCTCGCACTCAAACATCACCGCCGCCAACAGCTACCAGCGGGCCCTCTTCGCCTCCAGCTGCTGAACCGTTACCACTACCGCCGTCGTCAGAGAGCGTTCCGCGAAAACGCAAAGCAGTGGATATCTTTATGCGGAGGCCGAAGAAACGAACAGGTTAATCGTCATTCTTGCGTCTTTCCATCATTAACTCGACATTGGCGCAAATTCTGAGTTACACAATTGGAGGGTAATGAGACTGGTCCACAAGATCAATCAGCAATTTTTTCATGTATATCAACGGCGTTATGAAATGGATGGGATTGATATGAATGGGGGGGCTACAAGAGGGTATAGAAGTCCTCATGAGCGGGATTTACTCGAATAAAAAGGTACGAATATTTGGGATGCTCTTGGAATGGCGTCTTGATTGGATATTTCAGCGGATCGCGAGAACGTGTCACAATAATAAACCAGAAATCTTTGTTAAACAACAAACGAAAGTTGCTGCAACTGATGAAGTTCCTTTCTCTACTCAGTTAAATGGTTCACAACCGTGAACTCTCCGCTTTTTGTGTCTGATGACGAACCGTGGTAGCACTCACGCGCGCGGGGTCATCAAGCACAGTAGCTGTAGAACCCCCATGCCGATTACCCGAACGACAAATGTATAACAATGGTACATGTGCAAAATGGTGTTGATTCTGCTCACTCTCACTTGGAGAAGATTTTCCCCAGCTTTTGATGAACAAGAAACGTGTCGCATCGCTTTCTCATTTTTTTCCTTCCCGCCCCGTTCATGACCACATCTAGAACCCGCCTCTCAGGGCGAGCACCAAATGTAGCGTATCGCCCGCGACGAGGTTGTAGTCCGCTGCAGTCTTGTCGTCGGTCCTACGAAGCTTAGTATGTGGAAATTTGTCGTTGGAACCCTCGCTCGTTCGCATCCTTACATTTGCTTTCCTCCGTGGATCAGGCGCTGCTGGACGGGGGGGATGCCCTCCTTCTCTTCGACCTTTTCCTTGATTTGGGAGACCTGTTTCGCGGATAGTCAGAGTCGGGTCGGAGGGGATTTGGTTCTGGGGACAGAACATCGCTGGGGCCGCACCTTGTAGTCGCTTTCGATGTCGAGCTCGATCTCCTTGCCGGTGAGGGTTCGCACTCTGGTTGGTTGGTTGGTTGGTGGTTAGGCGGGTTGTTGAGGAGGGAGAATGAAGCTTTCACTCGGGGGGGGGGGGGGGGGGGGTTTCCTTTTCTTACTTGATCAACATTTTGACGGGGTGGATGGTGAGTGGGATTTGTCCAAGTTGATGGCTTCAATTTTTGTCTGGTTACCTTGGAGGGGTCGGATGGGTGGCGGCGGTTGGTGGATGGGGGGGAGAGCTGCAAGTCGATAAGTACATTGGACCTATGTTATCGCGGCAAGTAAAACATTCCCCCCCCCCGGTCAAGGTAGCCTGCCTACCCTGCATGGGACCCGGGGATATTCTGCCAACAAGTAGAGATTGAGCAAGTCTGGCAGCTGTCAAGAGGGCAATTGTTACGCAAAACTGATTTTACTACAGATAAATGTCAATGTCGTTGCCAAAGACCAGCCCTGTCCACAATTGACATCCAAGACCATGACTGCAACCAAATAGTCCCAACTACTTCTCTTCCAACGCCTCATCCCGTACACATCGTGCTGCGAGAGCAACGCTGCGTTTGAAGGCCATTCCAGTTCGAGATTTCCGCGCTACATGTACGGAGTACACACCGTTTTCATTCCCAACTCGTACACAAGTCATCTTTTTCGTCCTTTTCGCCAACAATGCTTTCTTCGGTAAGTAAAGACCCAGCCCCGTGCAGGGCCCACTGGAGGAGGCTCAGGACAACAACGCGCTTTTGAACGAGCCACCTTTCCCCGGCCGAATACTCTGTAAATTAAATCTCGCTTGTTCTTAACAAACGAGTTTGCGTAATTTTCTCTTGCTTTTCCGCACAGAGCAAGCTCCGTACTACACACAAGGCCGTGGAACAAGATCAGAATCCCAATTAGGCAAAGGCTGCCCGCTGGGTGGATCCCGAACTTGCCGTCGCCGCCGACCGATCGCTGACCGGCGGAGAACGGCAGTCACAGCCGTTGTTCAGATCCCCGCGACATGTTTGCTAATCGAGGAGTTGCAAGTTGAACTGTGACGTCGCTTGGGGTGATGGACTGGAAAATCTGATGGACATACAGTGGCTGTCGGGGGCAGAAACATGACAATGTTTTTGCTGCGTCAAACGACCGGGTGTCCTTTTCAGCCGTTGGTTGGTATTGACTTAATATTTCGCGTGGTGGTCACTGGACGAGAAAGGAAAACAAACCCCGGACTCCCCCTTTTTCCCTCGTCATTTCCTCTAATCATCAGGCCATATGGCATCACAACTTGCCATCATCCAACAGACAACCCACAAGCCCACGCAGATGGCGCATCTGACCAAGTATTGTGGCGGCGGCCACAGCAAGGGAGCCAAGTACTCAGGGGTATGATGATGAGCAACGAGACATTGCGAGGTGCGCGTGCTTGGTTTCCATCAGTTTGATGATATCGAAAGGGAGATTTTTAGTGACTGCCATGATGCAACCCCCCCCTTGTCAGGATATTTACTATAGTACAAATTCCGTCAGTGCAGACATTGATTTCAGTGGAGAGGATTGTTTTCTGTTTTCCACCTGATCCGGCCCATGTTCCGTTTCCGCCCCTTGAACCATTGGCAGCGCCCCCTCCCCTTCCAAGTCCTCGCACACCAGCAAAGTCGATCCATTCCATCTTCATCCTCCTTACTTGCTGTCCTCTCCCTCAAAAACGTTCAAGCCCAGACCATCCGAATCCAGCATCAGCCTGTTCTTTGAGCCAGATTCCTGCAGCTGCTGGGCAATCAGGCGAGCATTCTCAATCTTCTTGAGCTCGACGTAGGCCTTGTTCTTCTTGATGGCTTCACCGATGAGCTCGGCTGAGCGAGCCTCACCCTGTGCCTTGACAACCATGGCCTGCTTCTCCTGTCTGGCCTTGTCGACGACGAAGGCGGCTCGCTGGGCCTCTTGCTGGGCAACTTGCTTGGCCTCCACGGCGGCAGTGAACTCGGGTGAGAAGGCAAGGTGCTAATTTGACACCAACGTTAGTGCCCTGGTTGGCCAAGTCGAGAAAAAAAAAAAGAAAAAAAAAAGGCAGGAAAGAAATCATACCGTAAGGGAAACGTCATCAAGGAGAATGTTGAAGCGAGCAGCTCGTCGAGCCAAGTTATCCCTCACAAGCTTAGCCACCATCTCTCGCTGCGTAATCAGCTGGCTGGCATTGAACTGGGCCACCACGCTCTTCAACACCTCGTTGACAATCGAAGGCAGCACACGCTCATCGTAGTCGGCGCCCAGAGTCCTGTAAATCTGGGGAAGCGCATCGACCCGTGGCCTCGACAGCACACGGCAGGTAATGTTGACCATTTGCAGGTCCTTGGTGCCCGTCAGGGAAGCGACGTTTCGGGGCTTGGCTCGCACGTCGTAGACAATGGGGGTCTCGAACCACGGGATGTTGATGTGCGTGCCCTCGTTGTAGATCTCCTTGCTCACGCCGCTCAACCTCTTGTACTTGATGGCGCGCTGGCCGCCGTCCACGTTGAACAGCGAGTTCGACAGCAGCCACGCACCGCCGGCCAGCAGAATTCCTCCGACCAGGGCACCTCCAGCTCCGCGAGGGACCTGAGGACCACCGCCAGGTCGGCCGCCGTACCCGCCGCGAGCCTGCATCTGGCGCAGGCGGCGCATGGCCTCTTCCTGCCAGTTGTTCTGCCCGGACATGATTTGATGGGGAGGAAGTAGGAAGTTTGGGTGATGTCGCTCCTCGGGGGATGGTTTCGTCACGACTGGATCTGCCTGTGAGCCTTGGGGAGGAAGCTCAAGCACGAAAGGCCCACACGCTATTAAAGGCTGCTGCTGACTGATCCAACATTTTGGCGGATGGGGGGGCGGGCGACAAAAACCACAACGGACAGGCGCTAGGCCACAACAAGCCATTAATTATTTTCTGTGGTTCTTTCTGCGCCAGCTACATACAATAAGCGAGTTAGGCTCTTTTCCTAGAAAGAGTTCTAGGCAGAATGGCCGAGTGGTCTATGGCGACGGTCTCAAGTACATGGATATGTTCTTACGCATCCTCAACGGAGCGTTCCGTTCACGAAAGTGGCCGGGGTTCGAATCCCCGTTCTGTCATTTCATGTTCCATTTCTGATGCCTCCGCAGCAAGCAAGCAAAGGTGTGTGGTTCCTTCAGCCCTACGGAGGTTATCTTTTTTAGACAGTGGTGGCTAGGAACCTGTTGTCAGAATTTATGTACATACATATACAGTAAACATACGGTGCAGTACCCAAGGTAAACATCAAAAACACATCTCATCATCGATCCATCGTGCCGACGCCGCCATTACCATCATCCTGCTTCTCGTCAAATGCCCCCATTCTTAAGCCCTTTTCAATTTGCTAATGCAATCTGGATCAAATCGCTGTCCCGGGTGGGCTTCCTCGCGTAGCCGTTGAGCATCCGGAACCCGGCCTTGCAGCCCCTGCCCTCCTCCATCACCGCGTGGACTCCATCCAAGCACTTGCCCGCCTCCTTCATCGCCGCTCCTGCTGTCGCCGTGTCGACGAGTCGCATCTCACCAGCTACTTTTTCCATCTCACATCGGAGGAGCCATCGTTCCCAGCTCCACCCCCCGACGATGCTGCAGATATTGGCGATGTTGTCGCTGCTGCCCATGACCATGGCTTCCATCTGGCGAACGCTCCCACTCTTGATGGAGACATCATCCTTCCTGGGTGGTGCGGGAGGCGTGTTCATCCTGCGCTTGGCACCAACGGGGAGGCAAACCCATGCACGGCGAACGTTGTCGAACCCTGCGCGAGCCAGTCTACCGAGCCACAGCTTGGAAGGGCTTGGGTCATAGCCAAGCGTCTTGAGTGTGAAGCCGAATTCGACACTCTTGGCAAGACCGAGCGGTCCGGCATTGATGATGTCGGAGTCCATGATGGAAAATTCCAGATAGCCGCCAGGCTTGAGCACCCGCATGCACTCACCCAGGCAGCTCTCCCACTCGTCTTCGCCATTCTCGCCGACAAACTTGAGAATCCCGTGAAGCTCACGAGCGGAGACCAGGTCGAAATGGTCGTCGGCAAACGGAAGCTTTGCAAGCCGTTTCACCGCCACCTGGCGGTGATTCGGTGGACCGCGGATATTGGAGTTTGACAGCTGGCGTATGGCTTTGGTGGTGACCGTGTAGATCTTGGTGTTGGGGTATTGCAAGGCGCAGTGCCACGCCCAGTCGCACGTGGATTGCCCCCCGAGATCAAGGATCCTCGCTCGATCGCGAGCTATGCCCTCCTTGCCTGGTGCCATGTGGGAAAGGCGAGCTAGTCTCTTCGTCACTGGTGCCGAGATGAGACGTCCACCGTTGAGAAACTTGAGTGCTGCAACGTGCCAAGTTGGAATAGTCATCTGGTTCATGGCCTCGTACTCCTTTTCCTTGCGCAACTTCCCCGGGTCGTCAATGAGAACGAGGTCGCCGCGGGCCACGTTGGCACTAAGTCGTTTCTTGGCTGACTGGGGGACGACACTCAGCTGATACTTGCCGAGGAGCTGGTTGCGGTGGGTTTCGCGAAGTGCTGTGCGCTGAGCTTGAAGAGCCTCGAAGCGAGAAAGTTGCTGTACGAACACATCTCGGAGCTGCGTCCGGACTATGTAGTCTTGGAAAGCTCGATAATAGGCAGACTCTTGTCGCAAGAGGTTGGAGGGCAAGCACTTGGGTTGCGAGGTGGTGGGGATGACATTGGAGAATCGCACAACCTTCTCTTTGACTTGAAGACTCTGATCGACTTTAGTCTCAGCTTCGTCCTCACCAGTGGGGGATTCTTCGATATTCTTGAGGGCGGCGCTGTCGTCTTCACCACCTACGCCTACGCCTCTCAGGTAGGCTCTCTGCGCCAACAACCAAAGCTCGGTGCGGCCCAAATTAGTCAGAGCCTCCTTTTGCTGCTTCCGAGCGTAATTGGGATCGTAATCGACGACAATCTCAGTCGGTGCCTCGTCAGCCTCGGGCGCCGCGGGTGGCTTGATAGCGTCTCTGGAATCATTGGAATCCTGGTGCTGAATTGTCGGTCTGGCTGTGGGCATGCCGTCTGTGAGATCATCACCACCATCATCTCTCACCTCAATAACCTGCTCAATAGGTTCTGAAGAATTGTTGAGACTCCGATAGAAGCCCTCAGTTGAGTCGGGACGCCTGGGGACGGGTGGCACTGAAGTATCAATATTCCATGGACATCGATAAAACTGCTCAGCAGTGGTGGAAGTCGGTGGTGGCATATCCGCGGGAGATTGGGTTGGCGGGTGCCAAGTAGTTCTGGTTCGAGGGGACAACCCCAGAAAGAAGCCACTAGGAGATGGAATGTCCAATTTGGTCAAGCCAGCAAGGGATTGTCGGTTCGGACTGGGCGTAAAGATTCTCCCCTGGGTCGTCTGGGACGACGTGAAGCTGGTTACCAAACGCAGTGATTGCTGTTGCATCTCAGTTTCTGGCTGGGATGTCGTCATGGAAACATCGATGACTTGAGACGCATGCTCGTGAGCATCCTCCTCTCCGCCGGATAGAGCTTGCAGGGTTGCAAGAGCCTCGGGCTGAAGACGGACACCCGTCCAGTTTTCCTCGGCCTTGTCCTCGTCGTTTCCAATTACTGGTGTTGGTGGCGCGCTCATTGCAGCGAGTTGCTCAGACGACAGACTGCCATCGAGAGAAGGAGGCGCAGACATGGTTGGGATATCGAGAGCTTGTTGCTTTCCCATAAAGTCCATCTGAGCTGGCAACATGGGAAGTTGTGCAGACGGAGTAACGGGAACTGGCGAGGTGATCTTCTTGAGCTCATCGACTGCAGACCAAGGCTCGTCCGGACGATTGATGGCTTTGTCTGGAATCGCCAGACGAGTAGGCTGTTTCGGTATCGGTTGATTTACGGCCTGGTTGTGAGAAGTCCTTCCAATCGAGGACCGTTGAAAGTATCGTGAGAGGGCGTCGTCGTCGTCGTCGTCGTCGTCGTCTGCCTCTTCCGGTACATCATAGAGGTCCTCAAACTCGGTGTTCTCCGTTGCAATACTAGCTCGATTCCACATGTTTGTGGAGGTTGTCGTCGGCGAGCTGCCATCTCCTGATACCGTGGAAGGTGATGATGGAAGGACGGGAGCCGAAAGATAATGCATTCCCCTTGGCGTCGGGAAGTGATCGCTCATTGGCGACAACCAAGCCTCGATCTTTAAATGCGACGTATCGCCTCGTCTCCTTTGCTGGTCCATCGCTATGTTCTGAGCCTGTCCATCATCACTATCCTCTTCTATTATAGGATTAAGTAGTCTCTTTGGCCTTCGACCCAGCGAAGGTTCGCGAGACTGGAAGCTGCTCGGTGGTATTTGGAGAGGTTCCGCCATCTTTGCTGCTGGCTAGCCAGTCCGCTATATTCAAATAACGAGCTTTGCCTTGGAAAACGCACCTGGCGTCTCTCTGCTTGAAAAAAAATATTAAAAATCGTAGCTTGCCGTAAGCTGTGATATCGACGACCGGCGCCGAAAGTTGGAATGAAGTGGTACAAACGACAGGCTGCTTCGATCAACGAAGCGTCTACTGTAATTACAAGAAAACAACAGAAAAATTCAATAGACGCAAATTGCAAAATGGGGGCAAAAGAAGAGAATGCCAAGGAGGAGGGAAGAGAGTCGGCCACCTGTTGGCCGGGGATCGCGAGATCCTTAAGTGAGCCCATTCTTGGATGCGGACCGGGCGAAGCGGCTGCGAGGCGTGGGATGAAGACGTGAGTGGCTCGCAGCGCACACCATGTGGGCACTACATATGTAGATTATCTCGGGTTTGGCTAGCATTTGGTTCCCCAAAGTCCCAAAGAAGACAGAGTGTGTGTGATAGCCCTGCGTCGTGGATGCGTAGACCATGGCGATGTCACTGGGCGGCACCAGGTCACCAGGTGGGGGGAAACATCCAATCAACGCGGCCGGGACGGGTTTCTAATTTTGGATATGGCGGCCTGCGATGGCCTGCGATGGCCTGCAGGCGCGCGCGAACAGGGTGTGTGTGTCTGGTCTGTCTGGTCCGTCTGGCTGGTGATTGGCCTAAAAGTGAAGGCGGGCGTGCCTTACGGATTATGTGCGGGCGGCTAACCGCTTCTTGGCCCCCAACAAGTCGAACGACATTGGCACACAACAAAGTATCGTGAAACATGCCTACAGTACCAATCGAGTTGAGGTGGTTCGGTTGAAGTTGGGCTACCCGAATCGTTGCTTTATTGCTTTATCCCAGTGTACCCCAGTCTACGGAGTACGGACTCGGACGTATAACACAGGCCTCAAATCCGCCGCGGCTAATTCTGTGTCATCGACAACCCCAGCGTGAACAAGGATAATAGGCAGATGGAAGAATGACCATGTCAAGTTGTGCACGGTTCAGAATGTGAACAATCGGTGACAACTTGTCTCTGGCCTCAATACCCTCCGACTTGACCCGGCCAGTCATGTTTACGTGAACCTACTATAGTCATCTGAAATGTTGACGACGTAAGAGCTCAGCAGGCAAGTTGCAAATCCGAGCCCAGAATACTTTTCCGTAGCGGCAGACAATGCCAGATGGCGCTGCACTGGATCAACGCTCGTCTCATCATGATGCGATGGGATGGAAGTTATCGAAGTAGCAACGACACGAGAGACAGACACATTTGCTTTCTGCCTCAGGCGGGCAGGCGGGCGGGCAGGCGCAAGCAGCTGGCCCAGAGCAGAGCCCCTCCATCGTCCGCCCGTCAAATCAATTTTACCCCGCCATATTCAGACAAAAGCTCGCGACAACTCGTTGCATGAGCTCACCTGCTTCAATCCCGCAAAGTCTGCAACTATGGCAGATACAGAACAACAAGCCGCTTCGGCCGCGCCCCAAGCCAGACATGTGGTGTACTGCGGAGGCATGTCGTCCCTTTCCTTCCCGCACATCAGATTCGCCAACTCATTCTCGGCTCCAATCAGTTTCCATTGCTAACCTCTGTTTTCCCTCCCAATGTAGTCTGTACTCTACCACCCGAGGTTCGTGACCTTTCGACATGACCCTGCAAACTAATATCCCGCCACCCCCTCTCCCATTGATAGAGACCACCCGCACGCGCCCCGAAATAGCA